TATTTCCTTCTACATTTCTGCAAAACCTGTGACCTGTTTATAAGTTCGATTAGTTAGTGATATAAACTCTATTAGGTTATCCGGTTTTATTTAGTTTCGATGAAGGTTGGATGTTGATGTCGCGTTTATTCGTGTATAAACTAACCAAGAACTATTGGGGCTACCCAATAAAGGGGGCTTTAGATAGTGTTTTTTAAAGCGTTGTCTAATGTCCACAAAAATTTTTATATAATCTTTTTGAAAAAAAGTGTTGTTTGATATATACAATTTTATATGCACAAATTTTAACCATATTTACATCATGTTTTCGCCATATTTTGCACCTGTATATACCATTACAAATTTCACCAGATTTTCACTAATATTGGAGCTTCAATCTAATAAAAAATAATACCAAAAGATACTATACATTTGCACCAATATACTTATATATACTATTACTCTTGTACATATATACTTTTACAAAAAAAACAACATCATTATATAACATTACAAAATCTATTCATCTCTATCTTCTACATATGCACATATAACCTGAAACAACACCAAAATATCGTAATTCATACTATGATACAAACAAAATATATATAATTCACCACATGACAAACAACAATAAAATTGCAACACTTGAATATACTCAAAATTCTCATCAATTAAAGTAATATTACAATATATCTTATATAACTTTCGTCCCAATAATGTATTGACACAAATCCTCCTTAAGTTCATTCAACTGAGAACTTGAGTAATAAGCACACTTGAATTCATCAAAATACTACATAATAATATAACATAGTATGTTTAAGTTAAAATTATTTAATTATATGAGAAATATGTGTTAAATATTAAAATAACTCCTAAGTTAGAAATCCATACCTTAGATAGAATCTCTATTCGATCCAAAAGAAGGATTTCTCTCATAAACCTCAACATGTAAAAACCGCAATCTACTTCATTACGCTGCCGAGGACACTACACATGAAAAGAAAATATGGATAAGGCCTAAGTTTTATCAAGTATCATCACTATTAATATAATCAAAATTGTGATAATTAATTAATATACCTCCACTATAATCCATGTAATATTGTTGGCTTTACTCTTTGGTACTTGATGTTCTTCGAATCGGTGATGGTCTTCGACTAACTACATCAATACAAAAAATTCTTAACCAACTTTTTAGTAAGCACACTAACATTAAAAATATATAGAGTTGAGAATAAAATCACGATACCAACTCTCAAATGAAAATAAAATCAAAGAACTCATTTTGTTACACAATTTAAGAATCGGAACATGGAAAATTGATTTCAACACATGATTTATTCGATTAAACAAAAACTGGGCAGCAACTATAACAAGTTATGAATGCTCGATAGTTTCAACTCAAAAAGATTCAAAATAAAATGGGAAAGCACCCGATGTCACAACCATGCGAACTTTCGAATTTAAATCAAATTACAAAATAAAGTTGTCTGAATCTCAAAGCAACGGTAAAAGATGAATTGATGCCTCATGAATGGTTCTCGACTATATCTTATGCGAATAACGTGACATAGACATCAAGCCGTCATCAAAATCAAAATGAAAATCAAACTATCGCAATAAAGTGGCACCGTAATCGAATTAAACCTTGAATTCATAACAACATACATCAAAATATCTTTCAAATTTTCTCACACAAAGTGACACAACATTGAATTCAAACCCGAAACTCTAACAAATAAAACAAAACGGGTAGCTCCAATAGTTTCTCGGTTAGTTTATACACGAATAAACGCGACATTAACATCCAACCTTCATCGAAACTAAATAAAATCGGACAGCCTAACAGAGTTTATATCACTAACTAATCGAACTTATAAACAGGTCACGGGTTTTGCAGAAATGTAGAAGGAAATATCTAGAAATGTAGAAGGAAATGAATACCTAGAAATGTAGAAGGAAATGTTGAACCAAGCTTAACAAAACCAAATGTTGGTGAAATGATTGATAGAAGTCCTACAAGAGAGTTCAAAAAACTAAATATTATAAACCAAATACCCAAAGAACCATAGCAGCAATAGAGATAGGAACAAGGGAAACTTACCTTGAGATATGGTGGAGGATGACAACTGAGGGACGGAGGGAGGAGGGTGGTCATAGGAACAGCGGAAGGAGGGCGGTCGGAGGGACGGCGGAAGGAGGGCGGTATCGGAGGAACGACGGAAGGACGAAGAGAAAAGTGTTACGTTTCTGGAGGTCTGTGAATAGAAACGAGTTCTGGAGGGATTCTATTTTTTTATTCTAATTATATGACTTTAGACATCGCTTTTGAGAAGCGCTGGCTAATATGGGCCTTTAGCAGCGCTTTTAAGAATTTTTTTTAAAAATTTATATGACTTTAGACAGCGCTTCGGAGAAGCGCTGGCTAATGTGGTCATTTACCAGCGCTTTTTTTAAGCGCTTTCTAAAGCAACCCTTTTAGCAGCGCTTTTCAGTTTTTTTTTATAAAATTTATATGACTTTAGACAGCGCTTCGGAGAAGCGCTGACTAATATGGTCCTTTACCAGCGCTATTTTTAAGTGCTTTCTAAAGCAACCCTTTTAGCAGCGTTTTTCAGAAGCGTTGTCTAAGACCGGCCTTTAAGCAGTGCTTTTACTCATTTTCGTATACAGTTTCCGTGTTTTATTTTTTAATTTACTTATAGCAGCGCTTTTGTATAAAAGCGCTGTCTAAAGGCCTTTTTGTCATAGTGCACATATGATTAGATGATGTTGGTGTTATTGTTCTGAGCTTATAAAAACTGTTATTATTCTGACTTATTGTTATTATTTCGTTAATATTTATGCTCGTTGCCTTTCAATTATTACGACTTTTGAATTGATTTTAATTGTAGTGACTACTGATCCTAGGACTATTTGTTTGAACTACTTTAATTGTTGAATTCTCTAATTGACTAGGGATAGTATGATGAGGAATTGTGGCTAAGAGATTAACGAGCTTTATTGTCTAATCTGAAGCGACAATTGGTCTGAGAGATCAGGGAGTTGTTGTCTAAGTTAGTTAGTTATATGCCAAGGGGTTGGATACAGTTGAAGTGTTAGTCCGTCATGTAATTTTTTAATCAATTCATGTGTGTTTCATCTATAAAGTAGTAATAGGAGATTCTGATAATTCGTGACCACCTTTCTCTTAATCGTTTAAAAACTATTTTTTCTTGCGTGTTGACCAAACAAACTTACAAATCCCCCAATTTTAGTGTTTTAATTTAATCGCATGACATTCTTTATTTTAAATTCACAATTCTCTGTGGAGACAAATTTACATTTTATTACTTCAATAACATAACTAGTACACTTGTTAATAAATTGTCATCAATCACCTCTTGGGTGGCCTAACTGATGGGTGAGGGCGCCTTGGTTTAAGTGTTTACCAAATATAACACTACCAGACTATTTGTTGAAGAGTTAAAAAGAGTGTCACGAGAAAAATCAGATTGACCATCAACTAATCCCCCAATAAATTTAACAAGATATAAATTTATATCTAAAAAAATTTAAATATTAAATATATGAGTCATTTCTCTCGTATATCATTTACTCTACTAAAGACTATGCAGTGGAAGGAAAATTGAAAGCAAAACTTTGAAGATGATTTAAAGAATATAGGAGGGGATGTGTAGAGGAAACTGATATAATAATTTCAAGTTTAAAAATAGAATCTAAGATGAACCCTAAGAGAACAAGACCAAACAACAAAACGAGGAATAAATATGTTATGTAAGAGCAAGTGGCAAAGACACTAGACAGTAGTGGTTAATAATTTACTGAGTGAGGAAGTTGAGACATAGGAGTTATTAAGAGTTCAGAAGCTATTCACTCCACCACACCAAACATCACTGGGAAAAAATAAATGAACCTAAAAAAGACATGAAAACACGTTTCTGTTTATCTTTGTTTCACTATCTACAGTCCATTTACACCAACTCGTACCTCCATAAATGCTTTTACACCCTCTCATGACCCTCTACAATAACTCCACACTGTTTTATATCCATTCCTTTCTCCACCTTTTCTCTGTTTCCTCTCAGGATTCTCCCCTACCATTACTTACCTAACAACCTACAATCTATTCATTTTGTATGTGATTTTTCATTCTCTCATTGGCCCACTTCTTAAACCATGAACAGTTCCCATCATTCCATCTTACACCCTCTCCCTTATTCATAATTATAGTTTCTCTTTCTCATACTATATATGACCCACATAGATTTTTTCAATCATAACGTCTCTCTGCTACTTCCACCATGTTCAAATCTTTCTCTTATAATCAGGTGCCTTTTTGTATGAACATGTCATTCACTGTAGTAGTGTTGTTCTGTCAACTTTTCATATTATATACGTCATGCTTTTTCCTTTTCTTGTGTATGTCTTTTGTAATATCACCTTTTTCCTTATGGTTTGTTTCAAAACAATGAAACCTGAATGATTGTATAATTATGCTAATTTGTTCAGTGTAACTATTACTCTGAATGAGATACTATTGTACAGTGTCTAAACTTGCAGCAGGAGGTTTTTTTTTGTAACTGTTATTTCACTGTTAAGAGCTTTTGAGCTTTATTACTTTTAACCTCAAGAGACTGAGTTCAACTCAGTACTACCCAGTTGTGAAATGATCATTAGTATTATTGTTAATATTTAACAAAAATGACAGAAAATTTGAGTCAATGATTGTTATTATCACGATTGATTAATTGATAATTACATAAGTTTAAGTTATTTTCAGAACCGTACCTTACAGTCTTGTCTGGTCATTATGTTTTCTAATTAAGTGACTGAATATGACTGTCTAATTCTGAATACTACATTAATTGATTTTCATGAATTATAAAGTACAACTGTAGACTATAGTTATAGATTTTGAATAAATATTTTTGAATTCTTGTATTAGCAGAATATTACAAAAGAACAAGACCATTCCTAGCTTTTGAAAATTTAAGAAAAGGTTTAACAAAAACATGTATGGTCCTCCTCCTCCACCTCCCTATCACAGTCACATTATGAATATATATGATAATCAGCTAGCAAGTACAAGACATGAAGATTATGAAATCATCCTCGAAGAAGAACAACCTTCAAGTGATGATCAACAATCTAACCAACGTCCCAAAAAAAGAACGTACCGCCGCCATACACAAGAGCAGATTCAAGAAATGGAAGCGTAAGAACCATATTTTTTATCAGAATATCATAATATAGTATTTATCTGAACTTTTTGAACTGGTTTTATCGTCAGTGCCTTCAGGAAGAATCCTCACCCAGATGACAAGCAAAGAAAAGAGATGGGTGCTCGGTTAGGGTTAGAGCCTCTGCAAATCAAGTTCTGGTTTCAAAACCGGCGTACTCAGCTTAAGGTAGTTCAAACCAGATACATGTACTTTTTTTTGTTTATATTTTAGGTTGGAGTCGGTATTCACTCAAATGAATCTATTATCTTGTGCTCAAAACTAGAGAAAGTTAGAAAAGACTATAATAAGTGGCAAAACTCGGTGAATGTATTAGACCATCATAATATAATATAAGTGAATATTTTATGTAGGTTCAAAATGAAAGGGAAGAGAATAGTGCTTTGAAGGCTGAGATTGAAAAACTTCAAAGTGAGATGAATAGGTACAAGGAGGCTATAGGTAATACTGCATGCAACGTGTGTGGAAGCATAGCTACCATTGGTGAAATGTCCCGTGAGGAGCAGCAACTTAAGTTGGAGAATGCTCTCTTAAGAAAAGAGGTACCTCATATCATAATATCATATACATGGTCATTTATCACTGTTAAATTTAAAAAATGGAGCAGCTATTTATGTTGTATGACAGTTGATTACACCGTCATTTTGCATGATTTTAAACTAAGTTTTAGTTTTCTGTTTATGAAAAAAAACTGTCAGCTTGAAAAGTTTGCGGGCGGGGGCGAGACATCGACGAATCCTACGGATACTCATACCATCATATCATCCTCAAACAACAGCAATCACGCGCCTTCACGGTCTATCAATGTTCGAGTTGTTGGGAGGACTAGTAACTATAATGGAGCACAAAATGGAATGGTAGGAGAAGCATATACTGGTGGTAATGGTGGTGAGCTTACAAGTTCTTTAGTTCCAGCTAGAGAATATGTTGATGACAAACGCAGTATTATTGAGCTTGCTGTGTTAGGAATGGATGAAGTAATGAGATTGGCTAAGACATGTGGGCCCCCTCTATGGCTCTCTACCAACTATTACACTGAGATTCTAAATGCAGATGAATACATGAAGAATTTCCTTAGGGTTAATGGTCCTAATCCATTTGGGTTAAGGCCTGAAGGTTCTAAAGAGTCTGGTGTGATCATTATGAATCCTATTAATCTGGTTGATATCCTTATGGATGTGGTGAGTCATTAATGTTCATGTACCAACAATATCTTACACATATAGTTTGCATTAATGTTTCAAAATATGTGGACCCGCCGGTTGGTTCAATCATTTGAGCTTGTTTAATGCATACTAGGATTTATAAGTTTAATATTAATCTTGATAATTGGTGGGGTCAACTTTAAATTTATTGGGCCACATATAGATTGCTTATTCAAATCACTATTTGAATAAAATTGATTTAGATTGTTTAGTTATTGCTTAAATGTAACGTGACAACTGATCCCACACAAAATAGCTCAAACAACCAAAAATAATTGGTATGATTTTGATTGTACCTTAGTCGAGTTGAAGTAGATAAAACTCCACAATTAGTTTAACTAAGTAATTCGTTTTTTTGTTAATCATATGATTTAATCATGATAAAAATCTTTCAATATTTGAATCTATGATCTGATTTTTAAAACATTAGTATTATTTCATTTATAAAATTTGTTTTCAGAATCGATGGTCAAGTATGTTTTGCGGCATTGTTGCAAGAGCATCAACAAACAAAGTACTGTCAACTGGAGTGGCAGGAAACTACAATGGAGCCTTGCAAGTGGTACTAATTTAATTTCTTATATTTAATCTCAAAGAATTAATTTTAATATTTAGTTCGTGTAACATTTTGAAATTTTTTTCTTTATAGATGATAGCTGAATTTCAAGTTCCTTCACCATTTGTTCCTATTCGCGAAAACTATTTCGTGCGATACTGTAAACTGCATGAAGATGGCATATGGGCAGTGGTTGATGTTTCATTGGATAATCTTCTACCTGCATCTAGCTGTTGTTCTGTCCCAAGACCCCAAAGAAGACCCTCTGGTTGTTTAATTCAAGAACAACCAAATGGTTACTCTAAGGTTACATGGATTGAACATGCACTAGTGAATGATAACGCGGTGCAGAATTTTTATGCACCTCTAATTAATTCTGGACTCGCATTTGGCGCGAAACGCTGGGTGGCTACGTTACAAAGACAATGCGAACGTCTGGCGTGTTCAATGTCCAACAACATACCAATTGCTGGAGATCTCGGAGTTATGATGAGTCCAGAGGGAAAGAAAAGTATGTTGAAGCTCGCGGAACGAATGGTGACTAGCTTTAGTACTAGTATTGGTGCTGCTTCAAATCATGCTTGGACAAACGTACACTCAGATGGATCAGAGCATGTGGTTAAGGTCATGACAAAGAAATACGTCGATGAATCGGGTAGTGGCAGCAGATCCCCCGGCGTAGTGCTTAGTACTGCTACTTCTTTTTGGCTTCCCATTCCTCCAAGAAGGACTTTTGATTTTCTTCGTGACGAAAACACCAGATGTCAGGTACATATCTATAAAGACTTCAGAGTTTTTTTTATTTTTATAACAGATAAACAGATAGACAGATAGATAGATAACGTATTCAATTGAATTTTTAGTGGGATATTCTCTCGAACGGAGGTATAGTTACAGAAATGGCTCACATTGCAAATGGTCGTGATTCTGGAAGCGCTGTCTCTTTACTTCGAGTTAACGTAAGTTAATTTTTAACAATACAAATACAATTCGTTAAATTATATATCTCACATTCACTTTTGATAAATGTATTTTTGTAGAGTTCGAACTCAATGCAGAGTAATATGGTGATACTGCAAGAGAGTTGTGCTGATATAACAGGTTCATATGTAGTATATGCACCTGTGGATATATCTTCCATGAATGTAGTCTTGAATGGAGAAGATTCGAATACTGTTTCTCTAATTCCATCCGGATTCGCTATTTTTCCGGACGGGATTCTACAAAATCGAGAACCGATTACGAATGTTGGATCTGGAGGTTCTCTTATCACAGTTGGATTTCAGATTTTGGTTGATTCTGTTCCACATGCAAGACTAGCTTTGGGTTCTGTCAGCACTGTTCAGCAATTGATCAAGTCCACTGTGGAAAGGATTAAGGTTGCAGTGATGCCTAATGTCACGCTTAATGTCACCTAATTTCAGTATCTTATGGTAATATTCAAATTAAACACTAATATTTATCTTAGATTTTATTCTAAGTTAATTGTTTAAATGATTAAATATTATTAATAATGTGATACTAATAATAATTTTTCTGTGTTGCAGAGAGTTAGTTTTTGACACAAGTCAATAAACACACCTTGGAGCGAGTTGTTTCAATGTTGAACTTTGAACGAATGAACTTAGGTTCGGGTATTAACTTGGAATGACTCCGAATTTGACTTTCCGTTTTAATTATAGTAGATAAATTTTTTGTGTTGTAATGTTTACTTGAGTATTCTTTACTCAAATTGGTCTTATGTTGTTGACTTTTTGTTGAAACGTTATAAATTTGAGTAAAACTTCCCTCTTTTTTTTATTTTTTTAAGGTTTTGAAAATTGGACTAATGGTTTGATATTTGGTTTCTTCGTAGGTTTAAGTCGTTTATATTTAATTACTCTAGTTTATTGAATAATTGATTATTGTAATTTATATATAATTTATTTTATTAATTTAACAAATTTAAAAAATAAAAAATTACTTATAAAAAACAATGAAAATAGTATTTAATATGATTAATCAATAGTGAAATAGAGTTAGAGGTAGGGGTGTTCAAAACTAAACCGGTCCAATAGAAAACCGCAAAACCGAACCGAACCAAACTGAAACTGCAAAAAACCGCATTTGGTTCGGATGTGTTTGGGTCATTTTTTCGTGGAACCGCATGGTTCGGTTCGGTTTGCGGTTTATATTTTACAAACCGAATCAAACCAAACAAAACCGCATTATGTTATAAAATCTTACTAACCAATATATATTTATATAATTCTTTAGAGAAATCAACATGTATTATGTGTATATTTTATCATACTTTGTATTATATTCATTTTAATTTACAAATCATAAAAAATAAAATATTATTCGTTTATAAATACTATTTTCACAAAATATATTTTATCATATTCTTTGTATAATATTTATTTAAGAATGCAATCTTGTTGATATCATTATTTAGATTTAGATAAAATTATAATACGCAATTTTATGTATCAAATTATAAATTTATTTTGACAATTATAAATTTTTTATGGTAATGTTGAACAATTAAATATAAAATTATATTTTCCTATATATTTGTATGTATGACATAATAATTATTTTTGTAAAAAACCGAAACAACCGAACCAATCCAAACCGCATTAGTTTGGTTTGGTTTGGTTCGGATTTATTTTTAAAAGCCAACCGAACCAAACCGAACCGCATGTTTTTTCCTCTTACGGTTCGGATGATTTTTTGCTTCAAAACCGCCCAAACTGCACCGCGAACACCCCTAGTTAGAGGTGTCGAATACACTCTAAAGACCGATTTTATTTAATAAGATTATTTATTTACAATATCACTTAATTATAAGTTTTTCATAAGTATTATGTTCAATAGGTTTGGGTCTTCTAACTTTAATTTTTTTTTTTACTTTTCTATAACTTTCTCTCTATCTCTCTTAATTTATTTTTCATATATTTTTTCCTCCAAAATCAACACCACTATTTCTTTTATTTCACATAAAATTTGTCCAAAATTACTCTAACTTTTTCACCAAAAGGTTAAAGAATCCTGTCCAAAATAAATTAATATAAAAAAATATATAAAGATATTGAATGATCGGATGATAAGTACTATATTAAGTTTAATTCTGAGTTGTTAGATTTATATGATTTTGAATGAACTAAATGTCATAAAAATAAAATATATGATAGTCTAAGAATGTATTGTTTGAAAGTGTGCTTTGTGGTGGGTTTTAAAAGTATTTTTGAAAAGCGCATTTATTTAGGCAAACTTTGTAATGATTCTCGTCTTTATAAGAATATATACAAAGTGTTAGACTTTTGAAAATATTTCATGTTTTTGAAAGTGTTTGGTGTATTTGAAATGGGGATTGTGTTTGAAGATGAGCAAGCAACTAGGAACATTTCTACCTACTCAAAAATATGTGTTCTTTTCTTCCTCCTTTAGATGTTGCTATCTTACCATTGATTGGTAAGAAGATTTATCTTTGGATGTAAAAGGACGGGTGTGGGTCATCGTATAGTCATGATAGCAATGTTGTGAGATATCTTAGCATTTCTATTGAGGGACTAAGACTATTTGAAAGGCAATATTCGAAAGCGTCGTCGAGGGACTATGATCTTGTATTTTTTTATTGTTTTTGCTAAGATGTCTCACATGCATATCACGACCATTTTTCATAAGGCAACAAGTGGAATTACCCTAGGAGTGCATGTGTGAATAATGTGTTTGATTGCATGTGTTTAGTCTTTGATTAGGGGTTGTCTACTTCTTATTTTTATCTTCTCATACAAATCCTACTTTACTAGCATTTATAGGAAAGCGATAAATTGCGGAAAGTAAATATCCTACGCTATTACAATCACTTGGGGAATAGGGTGTACAAATTTATAAATGGGGATTGCAAGAAATTAAAGTCCTAATTATCTATTACAACCATATTGAAATAATGTACAAGAATTGAAATGTAAAATAGATTTGTTTTGTTTTGGTTAAGAGAAGAAATAAATTTTCTTAAGAAAATATTTGTAGTCTTTTTGTTTTAAAAGAAATAAAGCAAAGTGTATGAATATAAAGTATTTTTGGTGTTTTTGATTAATGAAAATACGAAAATAAAAGTTAGAGTCAGCGCATGGCTGAAAGAATAGAAATATGAGAAAGAGCAGAAGTTCTGACTCTGGTGCGCTGCAAATCAGAAAGAAAATGTTAGCAGAAAATGGGGAAAGCCAGAAGTTCTGGGGTTGCTGGGAACAAAGGAAATCCTAGAAGTTCTGATGCAACTGGAAACCTAGAAGTTCGAGTGTTACTGGAAGGTTGAAAGTTTTGGTTGCTGAGGGAGCCTGGAAGTTCTAGTGTTATTGGAAGGTCAGAAGTTCTAGTTGTTGAGAGAGTCTAGAAGTTCTAGTGTTATTGGAAGGTCAGAAGTTCTGGTTGTTGAGAGAGTCTAGAAGTTCTAATGCAGCTGGAAACCTAGAATTTCTAGTGTTACTGACAAGCTAGAAGTTCTGATAATGGGTCCGTGAGGTGTCAATGTTGTTGGATGCAAATATCTAGAAGTTCTGGTCTAGGATCACGGTTTTGACAATCAAATGAAGGAGGTTTATCTAGAATTTCTGGTCCAGGATCAATGTTTGACAAATAATGGGGAAAAATGTCAAGAAATAAACATAAAAATTTGTTTCTAGGGCTATAACTCAGGACCTTTCACACTAATGTCTTATGCGCGCGCTCTCTACCACTGGGATGGCTATACATCCGGTATTAGAAGCAAAAACATAAACATATATTACAAAAGTTCTGATGATGAACTTCATCTTCTTATACGTGTCAACCAGAGTATCTGCAACTTAGTCATTTCTCAACAAAATGGAAAATGAAAACATAGCAGTTATGGAAAATTTCATCATGGCTTCAGAAATACCAAGCAATCAAAACTGTAAACCAGAAGTAAGCATGAATTTTGCTAATTCTAATTCTGAACCTTAATTTCCTCAAGAAGTTCTGATCTAAAATTCTCTCTACTTAGGCCATATAAATGAAATCTATAAATATGTACAGAATCAGAGCCATGATATCTACATTGTATCTTTGAAAATGCAAGCCTAATAATACTTAAGTAATGAGATAAAAATCAGAAGAAACTTACCTTGCAGCTGGAAATTGTTCTATGAATTAGAGCCTGGTTCAGATTATTGTGATGTTCTAGTCAGCTTCCTCAACTTCTCAAAAAGCTAAAGCAACCCCCTTAACTTGAGCTATGAATGGTTGGAAAGTTCTGATGCAATCAAGATGCAAAGTTCTGACTTTTGAAATGAAGAATGGTGAAGATTTTTTTACAGTTTGAAAACAGAAATTGGGAAAGCTTTTATGTGTATTCTAGAAACTGTATGGATGATTTGGACAAGAAACACACAAGAAAAACTAGAGTTTGGATGCAAAAATCAGAAACTAGCAGGTTTCGTGTTTGTGTTTGCAATTTCAAGTTCTTGGGAATTTTCAGCAAGGTTTCAAGGCTTTTTCCAATCTTTTGAATCCTCCAACAGTTTGCAAATGAAGTTTAATTTATAGGCAAAGGATTTAGAAGCTTGGAGAAATCAGGAGTACAACCATCATTTGTTATGGCTCGTTGACTTGTTTTTGAAGCAAGTTTAGCCAAGTATGGTTTCAAGGAAAAGTAGAGTGGTTAGCAGATTTAACCACGCCTAATCTGAGTTTGTAGGCATGAATTGTAGAGAAGTACACTCATAAGCAAAAGTAAAGTATGGGCCCAAAATAAACTTTGTATAAAAGATTACTTTCCAAGGACAACAATGGTACTTTCATGCCACATGTGGGAAGATCTTTTGGATAAAGGTTCAAACATTGGGATAAAGATTCAAAAGTGGGTGTGAGCATTAAATGATGATGATATTTAACAAGCAAGAAGACCTGCAACCTGAGATTATGCAGCCTAGCTTGAAACTGGATCAGAAGTTCAACATAAACGTAACTTGGATTAAGAACAAATGTCCAACTTATGATCTTTTATAAGTGCCCTGGCTGGAGAGTTGGCTTCATTTGTAAAACAAATAAGAAAGCAAGTTTACCCATATTCCCTCTGTTGTTTTAATATGTTGGGTTGAAGAAGTTCAACATCTGGACCAACATGTTATGTAAGATGTCACAACATCAGCATATGACATCGCGCCTGAAATTAAGTTAATATTAGTTAACTATGTTATATGTTGAATGCTTGTAACAGCTGTGACTTGTAACCTAATTGTTTTAAGTGATCTAATTTATGAAAGAGGTTATTTGTTGTATCAGCAAATGTGTGTGGTTCTCCTAAACATGTTGTGTTGAAGAAGTTCAACATCTGGGATAACATGTTAGATGTAATGTCATGACATCTGACTAGACATCACGCCAACAGAATTGGTAATTCAGTTACAGT